CTCTCGTGTGAACCTGACCTATCTATCTTCACACACGGCAGCTAACGGTGATCAGGATTTAGATCACAAACATACGCACTCACTCGTGCGTTCATACGAGAAAATCTATGATCCAGATGTAGTGTAGTAGATACCAAGTAGATGATGATCGAATCACTGGCCAATAGGAAACTGTAAATTGGGAACGCGTGCGTGTGACTGGTTGATGACAGAAACGCACTTAACTTGCAAACCGATAGCGTTCGCTAACTATTAGCGTATCCGGATCCTGGTAACGGCGTTAACCGATTGGGCGTTCTCACACAGGGGCTAACGGTTAGCGCTAACGGTTAGCTCCCGATCCGGATACTAGGGCTCTCGTGTGAACCTGACCTTACAGTGTTAAAACATACGCGAACACGTGCGTTTGTAGGACAACACGTGTTTGTGAGACGCGCCCGTATTCCTGCGCTCTTCTGATTGGTCAGTCGTTAAGTTTGATTGACACTCCGGAAAAGGTCTATTCCTAGTGATTTGCTGCATTATTCCTGCAACAAGTTGCGAATGTGAACGAAGTGCAAGCGCGAAGATTACACACCTAGGCATACCGTATCTACGAGCAAGTATGGCACAAGAAAAGCTCAGTGCTCGCGTTAATACAGTACAACACAGAATCGACATCGGTAGAGTGGTGGACCTATTCTCCTCAAAACATCTGAAGCGTCTTGAATTTGCAACGCTATTTAAGAATTAAATGTTTCCCTTCCCTGTAACCAGATCAGAATAGGTTTATTTTATGAATTCTCGATTTTATATAATTTTTAGGTCTATAGTATACCCATCTCATCATGTCCACCACGACGTAAATAATTTGTTCACATTCGCAATTCCATTTATTGATCATAGGCATTTCCATTATGGTAATTTTAATTTTTTTCAATTTTTTTTATTTATCTATATTTGCTCATTCAAGTTCCTGACAGGCCTATGTTGACACATGCATTAAAACACCATGTGGTTGAAAGTATCACATTACACATCTTGGCTATATGTACGTCCAATGTGTAAGGATTCATTTTACTCCGATTTTAATTACGAATATTATAAATTTAATCATATCAATTGGATATATAGTTATCATTAGGCCTATCAAAAGTTTCGACAGATTACAGTTACATTGAGAAATAATTGACAGTTGCGGATTTATGAGGGAGGGGAGGCCAGTTGTCCCTCCCTTCCCCCACCAAATTTTTCAAATGTATAATTATTTATAAAATGGAGGGAGAGAGAGAGAGAGAGAGAGAGAGAGAGGGAGAGAGAGAGAGAGAAAGAATTAAAATTCAAATCTGAGAGTGCCGTTTCCGATCATCTAGAGGTCCCATAATGATAAATTATTTTTTTTACCTCAGTCTCAACCATGGTGGGGTTGAGGTGGAGTAGACCCACGCTTCCCAGACTATGAGTCGCAACCTAAAAATGGGTCAACAAATTTTTGCGTTGGGTCGCGACCAGGTCTACAAACAACTTAAAAAAAACCCCAGATTGTCAAATCTAATGTATGTGTATGTTGGTTAGTTGATATGATGGTAACCACTGGGGCTAAAATTAAGTTTTAAGTTTAACAAATATATTATTTAAAGTTAAAAAATAATTTCTGCAAAAAACAAAAAAAAAAAAACAAAAAAAAAAACAAAAACAAATAAACCAAAAAAAAAACAAAACAAATCTATCCAAACTAACCAAATTATTAGATGATTTGCGGCTAATGTGTGGAAAATCACAAATTGGGTCGGAGATAAAAAAAAAAGTTGGGAAGCGGGGTCCAGAGCCTCCGTCTGTAAATGTCCCTCCCTGGCCCCCTCTATTTCAAATTTCTGGATCTGCCTGTTTGCTCTCAAAAACGTTAAATACTGTTCATATTGCATCTTTAAGATCGAATGAACAACAAAAATATCTGAGCGCCCTAGACGGCCCGAGCCATCTTGATCCATTCTCTAAATGAAGCGCCAGCAAAATTTCTCAATATCTTTTATCAGGGAGTTTCGGCAGCTACAGAGATCTAATTAATATGAGTGATGCATCATAGAAAATAAAACTAAAGAAATTGATGCATTTAATTTACTTGTTGACCTACCTCACATCCACCTCAGCCCCATGGTTTGGGCTGAGGTAAGAAAATTTGATGAAATAGTAACTCTAAATGGCCGGAAATGACACTTTGAAATAGTAAAATCATCAGATCACCACATGAGAATTTGTTGGCGCCTTATTTTGACTATGATTACAGTCAAAATGAAGCACCAACAAATTCTCATGATCTTTTATCAGCACTATTTTCGGCAACCATAGAGATCTAATTATTATGTTTGATGTACGGTACTATAGAAAATAAAACTTCAAAACATTGTCTTTGATGTATTTACTTGACCACTTCAAATCCGTGAGTCAACACTCATCTCAGCCCCACCATAGTTGGGGCTGAGGTGGTAAAATTTGGGGAAATATTACCCCTAGATTGCCGGATATGACACTCTTATATATAGTAAAATTCATCATCATCGAACTAATTAATCGCTGTGATGTACGGTACCATAGAAAATAAAACTTAATTGTCTTTGATGTATTTAATTACATACTTCATGTGCCGAAAAACAATCTTACATTTGCACGCTTTTTCTCATACTTCTCAAAATAAAATAAAGGCACGCGCACTCGAGTAGTATATTAGGCCTATAGGTAATTCAGATGTTTGTTGTCAGAGATACCGGTATGTTGCTATAAAATGAGATGTACTCTGGCTGTACAGCGCTATTTCTTTAAAACCTGGGTCATTATATGCAATTTATTTAAACAATTTTCAGGCATCTTCTTGACTTATGAAATGGCATTGCAGACAAAAAGTGAATGGACCACCCCCACTAAAAATATGTGGGGACTTGCCCCTTCCCCTATTATCTGCGCCCTTGGGTGCATGAGAGTTCACACCACCTCAGCCCAACATTGTTATTGCATTCTCATACCTTAAAAATCTTATCAATAAATCATGTCAAAAATATAATACAACAATTATTTTTCTTAATACAATTTAGGTGAGGGGTGCGCGATTAGGAGTAAGGCAATTATTCCTGGTAAACCTGGTAAACACGCATAACCGAAATCACAGTTATTCAGGGAAGATATAAGCCTCGGTAAAATATATTAACTTCTTATATTGGTTGGCCTTGGTCTTGTTCATAAGTTCAGTCAAAAATAAACCCAATGATTTTACAAATGTACAGCAATCAAACCATTTTGCAATCCATCGTCTGAGCACCAGGTTCTAATTCAGATCAATGAAATCGGTCGATTAATTATCACATTTTTGCCATTTTCAACAAAAACATCCGAATTCCCAACATAATGAATGCGTGTAACCTTAAAACTCTAAACACCGCCGATCAGAAATCATAATCCATATTGAATAATCGTCGCCATGAAAGTAGAACAATCATTAATCGTCCTTCAAACATCTGATCAGCCGATCGATGACCAAAATCGTGTCGAACAATTTTACATTAATTCAAAGTGTACTCGACAAATTATAGATCAATAGACATATTATATTGATGTTTTCAAATCCGCATCAATGTTTAAGTCTGTGACTGTGAAAGCTAAGCTCTACGTGTGAAACGTTCTTTATTGATCATGTTTTAGTATTCATATGGAAAAAATAATAAAATAATATTAATACTAATAATATTAATAATAATATGTTGATTATCAAAATTCGTGACCCATCATTAAATAATATACAAATTATTTTAAGTTTGAGAGCCCCGTTAATAATTATAAAATTTATTAATTTATAATGCGCAAATTCCATGAAAATAATGTTGAAATGCGCATTCATTGATTTCATTTATTTATTGGCACAAACGGCCCAGGGGCTGCGTCAGCAACAGTGCGCCATAACCCCTGGACCATAAACCAGAGTAAAATAAAATTTACTATATTAAAATCAATTAAAAACAATTGTTCAATTATTCAGAATTATTAAAACCTTAAATTTGTAAAAATGACTGAGAGTAAACAATACAATGAAAATAAATTAAATATTAAAACAACTACTCTGTTTTTCATCTAACCTAGGCCTTCCTATGTCTCTAGCTAGACTTGAATCGTATTCGCAAAATATGGAATAAATTACCCATAAATGTCATCTATTCACCGACAATCATTTCCTTTAAAAGGAGTACAAAGCTAATTTTGTTCTTAATTGACAATACTTTTGTATTACAATAAAATAGAGAAAAATACAAATTTAAACTATAAAAGAGATAAAATTATGGAAGCTAAAATTCTAACTGAAAATTGAAAAGTCAATCATATTGCATCATAATGAAAGTTAAAGAAAAAAGAATACGAGTCGACTGACCTGTAATTATATAAAAATTGTCTGAAACCATAACGTTTTTAGGGTTTATATTTTCCAAGAGCGCCCGAAATAAAATGAAACAGGACCATTTTCAAAAACATTTTGTTTGAAATTGTATTCTGTATAAATATGTTTTTAAAAAATAAAAAAGTTATATACAAACATACTATTTATGAAGATGGCATCTAGACAATATAGAAAAGAACAAAGCCTTGGTAGAATGCTTTTGCAGACACCAAGAATAACACACGAACGTCTAAAGATTTATTTCTATGAGTTGGGGGTCCTTCTGGCTGCTGGTGATTGGGTAGCACACCAGCCGACAATCCTTTACTCTCTTCCGAAGAGTGTACTGCGTTTTTTAACATGCACATGGGCCATATTGCACACGTGATCAACACACTTGTATTTCAGCCATAAAGCTAAGTGACAAGGAGAGAGATAATGGAATAGAACCGGGTTTTCAGCGCGCACACAATGCAGTGACACCACTAGTTTATCGGACTGAGACACGTATATAGAGACATTCAATGTGGACGTGCATGCAGGGACTAAAATAATAAAACAAAAACTAAAAACAAAAAAATATATATAGAAAGATGTATGTGAATCACCAAAGTAAACAGGAAGACTAAGTATTAGAGAACAAAAGTTCAAGATATACAAGTTTAAGTCAATTGATGGAAATGGACAGGGCACCTCGCCAGAACAAAATGACAATAGATGGACAAAAGTAGCCACAGCAGAATAGACTCCAATAGCAAGTACACTAGGTCATGGAAGAACCAAAAACAGATAGAACCAGATATGACGATAATAATAATAAAAAAAATTAACAAAGGCAATTTACTGTAACGCCCTCTTACATAAAAGAGAATTATTTCGTGGCACTGGTAAAGTTTCGATCGTAATTTCGATAATCGAACATTATAATCCCTTATAAATAAAAAAAACCCCAAACCAAAATTGCTATTTGCTGTTGCGACTCTCATCAAACAGGTAAGTAAAGGCTTTATTAAATAATTGCAT